AGCCCGGCCAGGCCTGGGGTAGACCTGGGTTAGTCCTGGTTTAGACCTGAGTTAGACCTGGTTTAGACCTGAGTTAGACCTGGTTTAGACCTGGGTTAGACCTGGTTTAGACCTGAGTTAGACCTGGTTTAGACCTGGGTTAGACCTGGGTTTAGACCTGGTTTAGACCTGGTTTAGACCTGAGTTAGACCTGGTTTAGACCTGGGTTAGACCTGGTTTAGACCTGAGTTAGACCTGGTTTAGACCTGGTTTAGTTAGACCTGGTTTTAGACCTGGTTTAGAGTTAGACCTGGTTTAGACCTGGTTTGACCTGGTTTAGACCTGGGTTAGACCTGGTTAGACCTGGTTGATTAGACCTGGTTTAGACCTGGTTTAGACCTGGTTTAGACCTGGTTTAGACCTGAGTTTTAGACCTGGTTTAGACCTGGTTAGACCTGAGACCTGGGTTAGACCTGGTTTAGACCTGGTTTAGACCTGAGTTAGACCTGGTTTAGACCTGAGTTAGACCTGGTTTAGACCTGGTTTAGACCTGAGTTAGACCTGGTTTAGACCTGGTTAGGCCTCGAGAACATGGCTTAAAGTTTAACCTCGAGTTTATTTCCAGTTCACTTCTGATTTAGTTCTGGCTCAGATCTTAGTTAAACCTGTTTGAGTCCTGGTCTAGTCCTGGTCTAGTCCTGGTCTAGTCCTGGTCTAGTCCTGGTCTAGTCCCAGTCCTAACCCTGCCCGTGCCCGCGTGTGGTCCTCAGAGCATCCACCTGTCGTTCCTGCGCACGGTGCCGCCGTTCTCCCACCAGGCGCTGGTTTGGTTCGACCTCATGAGGGAGTTCAGGTGGAACCACATCATCCTGATCGTGAGCGACGACCACGAAGGACGAGCGGCGCAGAAGAGACTCGAGACGCTGCTGGAGGAGCGAGAGACCAAGGTACGAGCGCGGCACGAACACACGGGGGCATACAGAGGAACGGCCGTAACCTCCGCACCAACGCCAACGCCAACGCCAACGCCAATGCAAACACTAAAAACGCCAACGCAAACACCCAAACGCACCAACACCAACAGCGCTAGAGAAACACACAGGGTCACACCGAAACACGGCCGTAACCTCGACACTAACGCCAACACCAACACACCAATGCAAACGCAAACACCAACACGCCAACACCAACACCTATGCCAACATCTACGCCAAGGCAAACACCAACGCAAACGCCAACGCCTACGCCAACGCCAATGCAAACACTAAAAACGTCAACGCAAACACCCAAACGCACCAACACCAACAATGCTAGAGAAACACACAGGGTCATACCGAAACACGGCCGTAACACTAACGCACCAACGCAAATGCACAAACACCAACACCTACGCCAAGGCAAACACTAACACCAACGCAAACGCCAACGCCTACGTCAACGCCAATGCGCCAACACCAACATGGCAACAACAACGTCAACACGCCACTGCCAACACCAACATGCCAGCACCCCTACGCCAAGGGAAACACCAACACGGCAACAACAACGGCGACACTAACAACACGCTAACGAACGGCAACATGAACACGCTAACACATCAACAGCAACAACAGCAACACCAACGCGCCAACAACACACGCCAACACCGATGAACAAACACCAATGTGCCAACCCAACACCAATTCCAACCAACACGCCACCTCCAACATGCCAACAACAGCGCCAACACTATGACACCAATGGCAACACCAAGAACACACAAACGCCCAACACCAACGCGCCAACACCAACGTGCCAACCCCACACCAACGCCACTAACAAGGCAATTCCAAGACCAACACCCCAACGCTGAAGGCAACACACCAACACCAATGCCAACACTAACAACGACACACAAACACCAATGCACAAACACCAACGCCGAACACGCCGACACGCCAACACAATCACACCAACGTCAGCACCAACAACACACAAACACCAACGCGCCAACACCAACAGCGCTAGAGAAACACACAGGGTCATACCGAAACACGGCCGTAACCTCGACACTAACGCCAACACCAACACACCAATGCAAACGCAAACACTAACGCACCAACGCAAACACCAACACGCCAACACCAACACCTATGCCAACATCTACGCCAAGGCAAACACTAACACCAACGCAAACGCCAACGCCACGCCAACGCCAATGCACCAACACCAACACGGCAACAACAACGTCAACACGCCAATGCCAACACCAACATGCCAGCGCCCCTACGCCAAGGGCAACACCAACACCAACGCACAAACACCAACACGGCAACAACAACGGCGACACTAACAACAACACGCTAACGAATGGCAACATGAACACGCTAACACATCAACAGCAACAACAGCAACACCAACGCGCCAACAACACACGCCAACACTGATGAACAAACACCAACACACAAACACCAATGTGCCAACCCAACACCAATTCCAACCAACACGCCACCTCCAACATGCCAACAACAGCGCCAACACTATGACACCAATGGCAACACCAACACACAAACACCAACACGCAACGCCCAACACCACTGCCAACAACACACGCCAACACCGATGAACAAACACCAACACCAAACACACAAAACAACCAACACGCACAAACAACGGCAACACGCCACTGCCAACACCAACATGCCAGCCACCCCTACGCCAACAACACACAAACACCAACGCGCCAACACCAACGCCACCAACGCCACCAACACACCAACACATACGCCAACTCCAACATGCCAACACAATGACAACGATGGCAACACAAACACCGTGCAAACACCAACACCAACGCGCCAACTCTAAACCATCTCCACCAACACCAACACCAATGGCAACACCAACGACACCACACAAGCACCAACGCACCAACCCGACACCAACGCCTACGCCACCTCCACCATGTCAACAACAGCGCCGACAAACCAACACTATGACACCGATGGCGACACCTACACCAGCACACAAACACCAACGCGCCAACGCCAACACGGGAACATGCCAACATCAGCAGATTAACGCCAACACGTCTGATTCTGGGGACAGACTGTTGGGTCTTAACATAATTTCTGCATTTACCACATATTTTTACAAACACACACAAACATAATCTTCAAACACCGAGCGGCTTCATTTAGAAAATCATCCATCCACTTCAAAACCTGCACAGATCTGGACTCAACCTGGTCTAAACGAGAACTAAACCAGGTCTAAACCGTCTGCTTAGGCCATAAAGACTTGACCAGAGCGCGCTGTGGTCTGTACCAGAATTTAAAGTGCACTGTGTAACTTTTCACTGACTTTGGGCGTCTGTGAAGAAAAAGTTGTAAATAAAACGGTGGGTCGTAGATCTCACAGGACGGAGACTAAACTCAGACTCGTTGTAGAACAAAACTGCTGCTGTCATTTTGGATTAATTACAGGCTTTGTAATGAATTAATCTCAGTTAATCGCGTAACAATATTTGCCCCAAAAACAACATTTATTTTATGTACCGTAAGTGAATTTTAGTGAACTCATTTTCTCCCTGAGGCTGGTCATTTGTTCGAGTTTGGGCGGCTGACACGTCGTTTGTACTCGGACCAGAAGTGCTCCCAACAGCAGCGGCAGTTTAACCGGTTTGACCTTTAAATGGTCTCGTACACCGGAAAAAACAATATCTAGGCAAGTTAAAATGACTTAAATTAAGAACATTTTACTTTATTTGAGTTGACAGGTAAAATGATCTACCGATGGAATAAGTCTGTTCTTCTTATTTCAAGCAACATTTGATTTAGTTTCTTAATTTAACTGCAAAAAGTTGTTGTTTTTCTTATTTTAAGTGCAGCAAGATGTGTTTTCATATTTTAAATACAAAAAGTCTTGTTCCACTGACAGATCATTTTACTCATCAACTCATGATAAAACTTTCTTAATTCAAGTCGTCTTAACTTGACTAGATTTTGTGTTTTTTGCATCGTGGGGTTGAGGTGCTTCTGTGATATAAAACTCTTTTCTGCACAGTTTGCAATAAATGACTAGTCTGATTCATCAGCTGGTTTCACTTCGTTTCACTTCATGGAAACAGTCAGACGTCGCAGCATTAGGATTCGTTCGCTCGACAATATGTGGGTACTTTATTTATTTAACCAATCGCTGCTGTTTGGTCGTGACGTATGTAATGCACCAAATCCTGTAGGAAGAAGAACAATAACGTCTTTCCCCAAGATAAAATTCACTAAACATTCTCTTTGTTCTGGTTTTAAATCCTCGATCTGGGGAATCATCGCCAACACAGAATGTCTGGCTCTTCTCTGATTGGTTGGTGCCTGAAGTCACACTTCAAACCGTCTAGTGTGTTCTGATTCCTGAGTCGCTGGAGAGAAATTAAATCGCACGGAGGCACTAGGCCACAGGTGTCAAACATACGGCCCGGGGGCCAGATCCGGCCCTCCAAGACCTTTAATCTGGCCCTCGGCTAATTTTCTACTAAAATATTTTAATAATATTTTCTATTAAAATATTGGTAATTTTCTGTGGTGTTTATCACAGCAGCGTCTCCAGCGTCTCTGTACGTGGCCCCTCCCACCAGAGCAGCACAAATGAAGACTTGTCTCTTTCCAAACGCTCTTAAAGGACGATCGTTTTGACTGTTGACCGTAAGAAAATGGAGGAATGAAGTTTCAGGTTGTTCATAATATTATAATATTTTGTAAAAGAAATAATTCATCAATTAAAAAAGATTTCTGTAATAGATTTGTGTTTCTCTGCACAAATATTTGATCTTATTGCTGTTTTTGGGGTTTATATGACATGAGTTTTCTGATCCGGCCCCTTTGGGATCAAAGTGGGTTGGATACGGCCCCCGGAACAAAATGAGTTTGACACCCCTGCACTCGGCGGTACCAGAGTGGCTACTAAACAACGCCTTTGTCAATACTTCCATCGGGTCGTTTTTTGAATAGAAATTTATCGTCCAGCAGACCCAGAGGTTTTCATGCTCCGCTGTTGTTCTCAGAACTGTGTGCGTCAGTGTAAGTGTCGTATCACGACATGCTGCCCTGACAAATGTTCCGTGTTGTTTATCATGCAAACTGTGTTAATATTTAATTAACACATTAATGTCCCACCCCACTTATAAGACAAAAAATAAAAATAATGCAGTGGACACCAGGATTAAAATATAGTCTCTAAGCAAAGTAACAGGTCAGATCTTTGGAGCAAAAGCAGAAATTCAATTTGACAACTGGACAAACATTTATTTAGGTCGGAAACATTTCTCGGCTCATCCAGACTGCTGCAGGAGGAGCTAACTACACTGAAACTACTCTGAAACTATCACCCTACTTGTTTATAGTGTCTGTTTGTTAGTAACTAGTGTGTGTTAGTTTCAGAGTAGTTTCAGTGTAGTTAGCTCCTCCTGCAGACAGACATAAAGAAGTGTCCACCAGCGTCTGACCAGAACTGAAGAAGCAGTTTGGATGAGCTGAGAAATGTTTCCGACCTAAATAAACGTTAACCCAGTTGATAAATTTAATTTCTTCTTTGCCATGGATTCTGCCGTAGCCTGATTCATCAGCTGGTTTCACTTGGTGTAAACCGTGTGACCTCGCAGCATTAGGATTCGTTCACTCGACAGTAGGCGGGGACTTTATTTATTTAACCAATCGCAGAAGAAGAACAATAACGTCTTTCCCCTTGATAAAATTCACCAAACATTCTCTTTGTTCCGGTTTTAAATCCTCAATCTCAGGAATCGTTGCCAACACAGAATGTCTGTCTCTTCTCTGATTGGCTGGAGCCCGAACTCACACTTCCGAGGTTTTTGCGAATCGTCTAGTATATTCTGATTTCTGATCTAGTCGCTGGAGAGAAATTAAACTGAGCGGAGGCACTAGGGGGCGCCGGCCTGACTAGATTCTGCCTG